TAAAAGATGCAAATGCCACTTATGATGATAAAAGTATGCAGACACTCTTTTGTTTTCCTACCCTTTGGGTAGAGGTCCATAAATATAATTACGAACCAGAGAATTATGATCTACCCATGGTTCCGTCCAAAAATTTACATGATTACCATTTGCTAGGTTCCATTTATAACCTAGTCTACAATTTGACCAACCCTTAAGAATGTTAGACCAAATTATTGAACCATTAATATTACTGAACTTATGAGGTCTAAGATGACTGATGATAGGCTATAATTACGTATTTTAGTCGATTATTACACTCAAATTTACTGCAATTTGATTGAGTTTGAGCTTTAATCGCTAGTGTCTTGCACTAACTGTGTGTTTTATGCCTTGTAGGAGTGATTCCGAGCTATATAGATGTTATAGAATGAATTCAAGTGATTTGGAGCTTAAAAGTCTGAGTAAAAGCTCAAGGAATTAAGCCGGAATCGTGTTTGGGGGTCAACGGATGATAGTTAGAGCGAACGAAGAATCGAGTAGGCATATTGCGCACTGTCTAGTAAAATGGATATAACTTTTTGCTCAGAACTCCATTTGGTCTCCACAATATATGGTTGGAAAGCTAACTCAATGTGCTACAACTTTTGTGTTTTATATTTTTCCAAATTCCAAACGGGACGGGGCGAAACGCGCAAGATTTGAGCCAAAACGAACGAAACCGGGAAAAAGGGCCAGTTGGGCGCTACAGGCAGCGCCTGGCGCCACCTGTGGTGCCAAAAACAGTATGCACAAATATTTGGGCGTCGGGGACGGCGCCTGGCGCCGGGCTGGGCGTCGGTGACGTGAAATATGTCCTATTTTGCCCGGGACAAGGTTATTTCGGCCCTAGACCTACCCAACACGTATAAAAGCAAGACTAAACCTATTTTTGAAGGGGGAGACGCCACTTTGGAGTAAAAACACACACGGGATCGTGAGGAAGCGGAGAATTCTCAGTTTTTTTTCATCTTTTTCTAGTATTTCCAATTGATTCAACAATTATGCAATTGTTTGATTACATCATGAGTGGATAAACACCTATTGTTCTGGGGTTGTGATTTAGCCATGAATATTGTTGTTTGATATTAGCTTGACCTTGATTATAATTCACCAATATATGGTTGTTTCTTCAATTCTGTGTTTAATTGCTTAATTGTCTGGCCAGCAATTAGGTTTTATTTACTATCTATGCTATGCTTGGGAAAGCCGTGTTTAGATTAGAGAAGAATTGAAGAGAGCATGATCTTAACCCTTAGGGGGAGCGGATTTGTGATTAGGATAGGAATATACCTAGTCACCGTGCTTAATTAAATATCGTGATCTTAATGCGTTCTTAATATATTGATTTCATAGGAATATAGGCATTAATCTATTGAGAATAGGTGAGTAGTACTTCGGGAGAAGGCTATGAGAGAATTTATTGATTAATTAGCAACCATGAGTGAATTATATGAAGGGGAGAGTTAATTAGAACACAATACGATTGGTGAATCGATCACAATCCTGGAATACTTGTCTCTACTGAATACACAACAATCAATTCGTTACTTGATAATTTAGTTATTATTTAGAATTGTAGTATAATATAATCATATTATTGGACTTTGATTTTAGCTGGACTGAATAACAATTTTAGTAATTCCGTGAGTAGTTTACACAAGTCACTGTGGGTTCGACACTCAAATTATCATTATATTACTTGTCGACCACGTATACTTGCGTGTGAGTTTGGGAGCAACAATGACTATGTAGTAATACTTGTGCCCATAGCTGATTAGGGTTTTGAAATAATCTCCAAGCAAGACTAGAGTGCAAGGCATTATTTTTAAGACAGAGATTTTGGATGCCCAATCCCCCTTGTTCTAAGGGTTGAGTAACCAAGGACCATTTTAAGAGATGTAATTTTTTCTTTTGAGGAGTAGTTCCCCATAGAAAATTCCTTTGGTATCTATTGAGAGAGGAAATAATATACGAAGGCAGGGTGATATATTGCATTATATGGTTAGGAAGATTATTCAGAGTTGATCTTATCAGAGTTTGCCTTCCCGCTTTTGTTAAGAAATGAGTTTTCCATCCTGCTAACTTAGATTTAAAATTTTCAACTAAAAACTGAAAATCTCCTTTAATGGGTCTTGAACTAAAAATAGGAAACCCTAAATACTTACCAAAATACGTGCCCTCCCTTATATGAAACGTATGTTGCATGTCAACCTTCATATAAGAGGGACAATTTTTAGAGAAGAAAATTCTTGATTTGTCAAAGTTAATAGTTTGCCCTGAATGATGAGTAAATTGATTGATGGTGTTAACTATGGATTGACATGATGTAGAAGTAATTTTTTATGTCAAAATAATATTATCGGCGAAAAATAGATGAGATAATTGAGGTCCTCTTCTACCTATTGAAATGGGATGCCAAATGTGGTAATCAACTTCAGAGTTTATTTTCCTTGATAGCATTTCTAAACATAAAATAAAAATATAAGGCGACAGAGGATCACCTTGTCTAATACCTCTTGTAGGTGTAAAATAGTCAGTAGGTGTACCATTTATTAAAAGAGCTGTAGAGGTAGTGGTAATACATGACATTATTAGTTTTATAAATTTTTGAGGAAAATTTAGATTTAGTAAGGTGTTATAAATGAAGGACCATTCCAGTTTATCAAAAGCCTTTTCAAGGTCCAGCTTGAGTAGCATATTAGAATGTTTATCCTTCATTTTATGAAATCTAGTAATAAGTTCTTGTACTATAATTGCATTATCAGCTACTCATCTATTTTTCTGAAAACTGGATTGAGTTTGGTGGATAAGATGTTCCAGAACTGGTTTTATTTGGTTAATAATAATTTTGTAATAATCTTATAGATGGTATTACAAAGGCTAATAGGTCTGTATTGTGATATAGTAGAAGCATTCTTGTTATTGGGAATTAAGCAAATAAAAGTTGTATTTATAGCAGGGTCAATCTGGGAGTCCATGAAAACCTTATGACAAAAGTATTTGACAGAATTTCCTATAATATGCCAATACTTTTGATAAAAAACTGTGTGTAAGCCATCAGGGCCAGGTGCCTTAAGTGGTTGAAATGAGTGTAAGGCATTCATAATTTCAAAATCCTGTAAAGGGTTATTTAATCTAATTTGCTCCATGGAGGTTAGAATATTAAAGGGGTGTACAAAAGAGGTATGAGTAGACTTGGTTTTTTGAGTAGTAAAGAGATGACTATAGTAAGTTTTAATGTCATTTCTAATTTTGTGAGGATCAGTAATCCAATTTCTACCTAAGTCTTGAAGAGCAGTTATACGATTATTCCTTCGTCTATTTAAAGTTGTTAGGTGGAAAAATTTGGTGTTAGCATCACCGTTATTTAACCAATTAATTCTTGATTTTAATTTCAAAAAATTCTCTTCAAGCTGGAGAATGTGATTAAACTCCTTAGTTAGTGACTTTTCTAAACCTTGTAAAAATTGACTAGTTGGATAGTGAATAGAGGCATGAATCCCACCTAATCTTGCCAGTAATTTTTTTTCCGCTTAAAAATATTACCAAAAGTGTTTTTATTCCACACTTGGATTGATTCCATAAACTGGTTAATGGCAGGAATTAAGTGAAGTTTTTCTGCCCAAACATGCTCTATGACTGTTGCAAAAGTAGGATGTGTAGTCCATATAGATTCTAACCTAAATAATTTTTTCCTAGGCAAAACACAGTGTTGTAATTCGATTTTGATAGGACAATGATCAGAATGGGTTCGAGGAAGGTGTGTTACCAAAGCATCACAATAATTAGATACCCATTCATAATTAGCTAATACACGATCAATACGTTCTAAAATATTAACATTGTTATGTCTACCATTTGTCCAAGTATAACGACTACCCTTGTATCCTAAATCCGTTAAAAGGCAGTAATTAAAACAGTCTAATAATCTATTAGCTCTAGCATTATTGATAGGCAAACCTCCAAATTTATCTGAGGCATGTATTATTTCATTAAAATCTCCCCCTAACAACCAAGGCCCCTTATAAATATCAAAAATACACCTAATATTATCCCATAATACTAGTCTGGAAGCCAAATCATTGCTTGCATAAATAGCACTTAATAAAAAGGTAAAGGGTAAGGGAAGAACCTGGACACGCCAATGTATCTCTTGTGTAGATGTGGCCACCTGTGCTACATTTAAAAGGGTTGCATTGCATAAAATAACTATCCCTCCTGATTGCCCTACTGCAGATAACTCTATCCTACCTGTGAACTCGAAATCATCCTTCAGAAGCTGGTGGGATTGACAGTGTGTCTCCAGGAGTACCACCAAAGTAGGTCGATTATAGTCTAATAAGGACCTAAAGTTCCTACGAAACTCTACTGACTGAGCACCCCTACAGTTCCAAATTATAAAATTCGTATGGCTTAACTGGAGTTCATTCTGACTATTACTAGATTCACCTGGACGAATCCTTAGAGTAGGGAGAAATAACATCGCATATTTCCCCACTAGTGGATTTGTTGTTGGTCTCAAACGGAATGAGGTTGCTATCAGATTTTGCGGGCACCTTATGAAGATTTTTCTTTCGAACTCTTCCTTCTGGAAAAAGACTTTTATGCCATCTAGGCATGCATGTATTGGCCTCGTCTCTCTGTTGTAAACGATGGCTATCTAACTCTGCCTGAAAGTTCACATCCTGCTCCTCTAGTTCTATCTGATTGTGATGCTGTGGAGATGAAGAAAGAGGTGGTGGTGTTGGAGAAGGGGGAGTTGCTTGTCCCAAAAGAGGTGTATGAGGTTGTGGATCCCAACAGGGTTGGATCCAAGGGGTGTTTGGAGTAAGGGGAGGATAAAAAGGCATGTGTATTAGACTGGGGTGGAGATGTGTGGGATCCCAGACTGGAGTGGGTAGAGGCAGAGTTTGGTATGGTGCTAGGTGGGGTGCCTGCATCATGGACCAATGATAGCAAGCATAGAGGTCTGTCCCCAACTACATCCCTTCCATCACGATTTGTGCTAAATCTCTAGGATGATTGATCAGGATCGTCACCTCTTGGTGATTCACTTGCATGGTGAAGGTGAGAGTATGGTTGTGCAAGCCTGCCTCCAGCCAAGATGATAGTAGAGTTGGTGAATTTGGTGTTTGTGCCGTGTAGATTATCGTGTTTGGCTCCATTATTAGGTGAGGGGGAGGGTGAGCTGGAGAGCTGGGGTTGTGTTGTAGGCGATGATTCTGCCTTTGGTGAGATCTTGGTCGTCGGAGGTGATTGAGGAAGTTGAAGGGAACATGGTTGATAATGGGAGATTCTGGTAATGGAGGAGTCAAAGTGGGAGGGGATATATTTGGTGACCTAAGTGGAACTGGAGCAATGTCAATGGGTGAAGATGGCGGTTGACTAGATTGACAAGAAGGGGGTGTAATGGACTGGAGGGGAGTAATGGGAGATTCATGATTGCCTATAGCAATAGTAGGTTGAAATGATGGAGGACTTCCTATATTCAAAGGAGGAGGTGGAGTATGTGGTAGTGTAGGTGTATATTTATCGTGTGGAGGTGAAAAAGGTGTGGCTGGGTATGGGGGCATGTTGTGCATGTGAGAAGAGTTGTCGTGTCCAGTTGCATGGGTAGTGATAGGGTTTGATATTTGAGAAGGAGTAGGTTTTGAAGATTGCTCCAATTGGACCGAGTGCTTAGGCACTTGAGTGGTCTTTGAGAACTGGAAATTATTGGGTATTGGGTTTAACAAGGGCATATCCTTTTCAGGTGGATTTTCTACCAAACTATTATACTTATTATTTACTAATACCGGGTTAAGGGTGGGTGGTAGCTTAGAACCATTTAGATTTAGCTTAGTAAAGGGAAGGTTAGTAGGGTTAATAACCCCTTGCTTACCTGACTGCTTTGCCTCCCTTGTCGCTACTGGAAGTAGCACTGGTGGATCATCAGTGTAAGGAGATCTTCGAAGGCTGGATTTCTTTGGAAATTGAACAACTTGCCATGCTCCCTTAGCCGTAGAAGAAATATTGGAAATAGATCGATCATCATCCATGTGATGATCTTGTTGTGACTTATCTGTGTGAGCTTCTACGTTCACAACATAATTGCAAACCCTTTGATTATGACCCATACGGCCACACTTAACACACAGTAAATTTAAACCCTCATAAAGTATGATTTGTTTACGGGTGCCAATGTATAAGTGTGACTTTAGAGGTTGATCAAGTAATACTTCCACACATAACCTAGCATATTGGCCTCTAGTGGTTGAAGCAGTACAAGTTTCCACTAATAATAACCTACCAATTTTCTGGCCTAACTTGTGCAAAATTTGATAATCATAATATTCTGTAGGTAATTCCGGTAGACGTACCCAAATAGCTGAGGTTGTTAATTTTGTTTCAGAAGCCTTAAACATAGGTTACCATTGACAAACAGATAGAAAATGATTTAAAACAAACCAAGGGCCACCCTGCAAGGCATGTAGCTTGTTTTCCTCTTTTTGAAATTTTAATAAAAAGAAGTCTGACCCTAAATCAATTAGAGGAAGATTTTCAGTAGGTTTCCATAGAGCATAAATTTTTTGTCTAAGTATTTGATGCTCAACTTTTCGACCATATACCTTTATGATCACTGCATGTTGCCATGGTTGATATAGCCTAGTTTTTTCTTTAACTGATAAAGGTATAAAAATGGAAGAGTCAGTAGGTGCATCCAACTCATCTGAATTCTCCAAAGGATAAGGAAAGTGTTTTGGAAATATAGTCGGTGCCGAAAAGAAGTTATTAGAGTTTAAAGTTTGAAGATATGTTTTTTGCTGGGGTGATGAGTCTTTGGTTGGATCTTGCATGTCAATATTATATTAATAGGTATGGTAGGATTTGTATTGGGTGAAGAAAGTAGTATGGAATTACTATTTGAGGGTATTAGATCCGGTGGTTCTGGTGGTTTGGGGGGGATGGAGGTGGAGGAGTCGTACCTGTTTAAGGAGGTTATTGGGAGCATTTTTTCTTTTTTAGCAAGTACAAAGTAGCAGCTTGAATGCCAAATACTTGCCACAACAACTTCCCTGTGTTATTTTGAACTTGCGGAACGAAGTTTGGCTTAGATGCCAAAGTAACGAATTGATATAATTTTGGAGTGAGGCTTGGACGTTTGGATGAGCTTGAAAATGCTTCTGCTTTTCACTTTGGTCAAGGACAGAATGTAAAATGGTCCTTCGATCATAAGTGAAGTGTTTATCATTTTAATTGATAAAACTCACAAAAAGTCTTGATAAGACTTTATAATTTGGTCTTTGACACATGTAAAGGTGATTGGTGAATCACCTTAAAACTAATAAAGGGGGCTGCCACGTTCTCTTGGTGTAATTGATTAAATTTGTCCGCTTATTAGTTAACTGGGTAATGTTCTGTTACTCAGTAATTAACCAATTACCCGCATAATTTAAAAATTGCCCCGAATTACTTAAAATTCTATTTATTTTAATATAATTTATGTATACTTTATATATTATACTACCCTGGCCATATGGTACCTTGCATGGTATTAGTTCATAATTATCGGGTATTATCGCTCGATCCGTATTTTATTATAAATTGGCCACTCACAACGAAACTCATTCCCTTTATCCTTCATAACACTTATTTATTGCTTGTTATAAATAGCGTAAGTACGTTAACGTCAAGATGATCTCATCCCCGAGTCTACGTCGGTTAACTGAAAACGAAATTTTACGTACGAAAACGCGAGATGTATTAGAACACTTGTAATATCCTTCAGAAATGTCAACTGACACAAACAATTCATCCATCATATCTTCTTATACTACTTCTATTAACCCCCATAGGGAATATCTGGAACGGGTGCGACCAATTGTATATACCTCTGTTACTATTGAATATAACTCAAAAAGCTTATGTTCCTATGCCTCAATTATAAATGTTGTTAACCTTCATTAACTGGGCGCCTCGTACCCTTCTTCATCATGCTTCTTTTGCCTGTTGAAACTTGTATTTATCTTCTTAATATCTCGTTGTCTTTCACCATAAAGATGGATAGACATTCTTGCCTTAAGGCTTCTTATCAGGAAGCTTACACCTTTCAGTACACCCATGATCTGCTAAAGACCTCACATTTACTTATCGTAGGCATCATACAAAAATCCAATTCCTCTGACTCAGCTCGTCCACAACTATCTCTCTTTCCAACCTTCATTCCGGATATAGGTATCGTTTTATTACGAATAAAAAAAATTCGGAATTTGAATTCTTATAAGGGAGCACTACCACAAGAACTAGAGTAAGAAGAAAGAGTGACAATCCTAAATGCCCTGTAGCCTCCTACTTATAAGTGTGGTGCACGACACACCCATAAACAAGACTCTACTAGACACGGCTTGTAGACTCCCTAGGACAGAACTGCTCTGATACCACCTTTGTCACGCCCCGAACCTGGGGGGCGAGACTGGCACCGAGTGCCTCACCTATCCTTGCGTACTAACTTGCAACTAATGGACTCTGAACATATGATGTCATACTTTCGCCATGGGCCACATTGCATGATAACTGCGAATGCTGACTAAATGTCAATATATAACTGGGCCGACAAGGCCGCATAACTATTAGAGCTGACAAACCAACCAAAAATACATACAAGGTCTGCAAGCCCAACATATTGCACTAACTGACAGGATATGTCTACAAGCCTCTACTGATGGATATACTATGATCGGAACAGCTCCCCGACCTACTCATAACATATATACATATAAATACAAGATGTACATAAGGCTCTACACCCGGAAACTTCAAAAGGCATGGAGCTTACCGATCAAGCTGAACTCGGGAAACACTTATTGAGGAGGCCTACCCGTCTGTCTGTCTGACCTGCATACATGAAATGCAGCGCCCCCAGAAAAGGAATGTCAGTACGAAATAATGTACTGAGTATGTAAGGCAATATACTGAAAGCTGAAACTGAACTGATAATATAATAACTGCAAGTAGCTGGAAGTCAAAGATAATCTGAAGATATGCTTACCTGCTGATACTGACTCAACTTTCTCAATATAGTAAGTAAAATAGTTGTCCGGCCCTATAAGACTCGATATATATATATATATATATATATATATATATATATATATATATATATATATATATATATATAACT